TTGCCTATATCTTGTAATATGAGAAACTACTTTGGCAGTAACAATACACAATGTACTAACCATTTTTACTCTCCTAAGATCTTGTTTTGAGATTTTGTACCATTGTTTTTATTTCTTTTTCTTTAAAATAAAATAACTGATGTCTAAAAAGAAAATAAAAGGTCTTCTTAAAAAAACAAACAAACAAAAAAAAAAACCTGCAATGATGGTTTAGTGGTAGAATTCTCACCTGCCATGATAAAAACTTTACATAGAATTGGAATAGATGGTCTATACCTCAATCTGACAAAAGCCATCTATGAGAAACCAACAGCCACCATCAGACTAAAGGAGCAAAAACCAAAGGCCTTCACTTTAAAATCAGGAACAAGACAAGGATGTCCAGTGCCCCAGCTCCTACTCAGTATAGTTCTTGTTTTTTTGTTTTTTAGTATTTGGTACAGTGTCTCACTACATAGGCTTGGACTCATAGTCATTCTGCCGTTTTCAGCCTCCCCAGGGCTGGGATTACAGGCATGTGCCACTATGCCTGGACTCAGTGGCCAGCTCAGCACGTACCCAGGGGTGAAGCTGGCAAGGCATGTGGGACTGGGAATCAAACCCTGGTCCTTGCACTTGCCAAAGCAGGTGCTTAGTCCACTGAACTATGTCACAGGCCACTAGCCAGAGCAATTAGATAAGAGAGAGAAATAAAAGGAATAAGGATTGGAAAAGAAATGAAATTATCATTATTCGCAGATGACACGATATTGTAGACAGAGGACTCTAAAAACTCTAAGAGTCTTGTAGATTTAATCAACAAATTCAGCAACGTAGCATGATACAAAGTCATCACCCAAAAATAAGTAGCATTTTTTGTATACAATGAATACACTAAGAAAGAAACTAGGAAAACTATACCTTTCACAATAACATCAAAAAAGTGAAATACTTAGGAATCAATCTCACAAAGGTTGTAAAACATTTATACAGTGAAAATTACAGTACTCTGAAAACAAAAGATTAAAGAGGATTTGAGAAAATGGAAAAATATTCCATGCTCCTGGATAGAAAGTACCAGCATTATGACAATGGCCATACTCCCAAAATTATTATTCAGATTCAATGTAATGCCAATTAAAATACCATCAGCATTCCTCACAGAGCTAGAGAAAACTTTCCTCAAATTCATTTGGAACCAGAAGAGACCCAGAATATCAAAAGCAATCCTGGGAAATAAAGGAAAGGCAGGCGGTATCACAATCCTGGACCTGAAGTGATACTATAAAGCTGTGATAAAATCGGCATGATACTGGCATAGAGACAGATCTGAGGATCAATGGAACAGATTAGAAGATGCAGACACAACTGCAAACACACTCAGCCATCTTACCTTTGACATAGTGGCCAAACATGTTCACTGGAAGAAAAATAGCCTCTTTAATAAATGATGCTAGAAAAACTGCCATTCCACATGCTGAAGGCTAAAACTAGATCCATGTCTATCATCACGCAGAAAGGTACAGTTCAAATGGGTCAAAGATTGAAATATTAAAACAGAAATACTAAATCTTCTAGAGGAAAAAATGTAGCTATAAATCTTGAAGACATGGGAGTAGTTTATGAACAAAAATCAAACTGCACAGGAAATGCTTCAAAGAATCTACTGGGATCTCATCTTTTTGAAAAGTTTCTGAACTTCAAGGCAAATGTCCAAGAGAGTAAAAAGAAAACCCACAAACAAGGAAAAAATTATAGCTGACTATCCCTCCAAGAAAGGACATCCAGAACATATAAAGCATCAAGAAAAATCAGTCCCCCCCCCCCCCGAATTCAAATACCCAATCCAAAACTGGGCATCTGAGATGAATATACACTTCTCAGAGGAAGAAATATAAACAGCAAGTAAATATATGAAAAAATGTTCAACATCATTGGTCATTCAAGAAATGCAAATTCAAACAACACTGAGATTCCATTTCATCCCAGAAAAAAATGGTTGATATCAAGAAGTCAGCCAATAACAAACGCTGGAGAGACCGTGGAGAAAAAGGAACCCTTCTCAACAGTTGGTGGGAATGTAGACTGGTACAGACACTATGGAAATCAGTGTGTGATTCCTTAAGAAGCTAGGACTGGAAGTGCCATTCAAGCGAGCTATAATCCTTCTGGGTATTTTTCCAGAAGAATTGAAATCCTTATGCCAAAGCAATATATGTACACCCATGTTTATAGCAGCACAATTTGTCATAGCTAAATCATGGAAACAATCCAGATGCCCATCAACTGAAGAATGGAGAAAGAAGATGTGATATTTTTACACAATGGAGTATCATTCAGCTATAAAATAGGATAAATTTGAATCTTTTGTCAGTAAATGGAAAGAACATATGCTTAAGTGAAATAAATCAGACCCACGTGTGCAAACATCATACTGTATCCTTAGTATGAGAACCTGAATAAGAAAGATGGAATCTGCAGTGTACAATAGATATTGGGAAAAGGGATAAAAGGAAAGAGTTGCTGAACTGCGGAGGACAGGAGAGACAGCGGGGGGAAGAGATTATGTATCCAAGCAGGATGGCTTGGACAACTATAGTGTGCATATCTGCTGGTCTATAGAAAGAAGCAGTTAATATTTTAATTTGTTTCTTTTTACAATTGCTTGTACTTTTTCTCTTCTTAATTTCTTATACATTTCTTTTTTTTTTTCTTCTTCAATTTTACATGCATATATCTGGTAATATGAATAACTGGTTGGAAGACCACACTATATATTACAATAAATACTGTGAAATTCATATTGCTTTGTTAAGTGAAAATCTGTACCACTTGTAATTTTTTGTTTTGTCTCATTTGTACTCTCTTTAAAAAATAAATAAAAGTCTTCCAACAAAGAAAACCATAGTTTCAGGTAATTTCTGACAAGTATTCCCAATATTTAATAAAGTAGTATTTTCAGCTTTATACAAACTATCTCCAAAACACAAACAAGTAGGGCACTTTCAACTCATTTTAAATAGCAAGCATCATCACATCAAAGATATTAAAATAATAAACCATGAATCTATGAACCAGTATCTTTCAGAAACACAAGGAGAGCAGGACAATGAATAATATATTCCTACATTACAGGAATAATGTTTTAATTACACAGTCACCTGTTTTGCACAGTTTCTCATTCTTGGAAGCATATATATTTCCTCAAGTTCCTTTTGCCTTTCTTCCTCTTCTAATCGTCTTCTTTGATCTTCTGGAATGATTTCTTCCCAATTCTTTGAATTTCTTTCAGGTTCCAATTCAATGTCATCCTCATCCATATTTGCAAAGTTGGCAACCTGAACAATTACAGAATTTGAAATGAATAGATAGTACAGAAAAATTTATCCTTAAATATTACAGAAGACTATATCTTTAAATTATCTTTTTATTTTTTAAGGGAATAGAAGTGGCATGCCAGTATATGACAAATGCTCCTAAAATATTATCCAGTAACACTGGCACAGGCCTAAAGTCCCAGCTATTCGGCAGGTAGAGGCAGAAAAAACGCTCAAGTCCAAGACTTCAAAGACAGCCTGTGCTACATGACACCTCTCACTCAAAAAAGCTCCAGGAATATCTTAGTATAATGAGTACGTCTATCATCGTCAACGAAATCAGATATGACTTACACTAAGTTTACTTCTTTATGCAAAGCAGATCAAATGATTTCTAAAAATCTTCTTTCAAGAGTAATTTCTTTTGTCCTGCTTGCCACGAAAATTATTATAACAGAATTAGAAGATGTTAACAACAGCAACAAAAAATACTATCTGCATGGTATTAACACAATAATCTACAGGAATTCCCAGACCAGTCCTTGAACTACCAAGCGCTGCAGATCACTACTCTCATTTTTATCATAAAAGAGCCCAACCAGGTGGCACATGCCTATAATCCTTCTATTTTGGGAGGCTGAGACAGGAAGACTAAGTTCAAGTACTGCCTAGGAAATTTAGAGCCTACTTCGAAAGAGAAAACCACAAAACAATGGAAATGGTTATGAATGCAATTCAATGTAAAGCCCCTACATTCAATTTCCAGTACTGGAAAACAAAACAAAACAATATAAAACACAACATAACTGAGGACCAAGGCACAAAAAAACTACTGGTGAAAACAGAAAGCTCAGTAAAATCTTAAACGTATGACCTAGATTTCCGAAGAGCTAGTTTCCTTTTCAAGGCAATGGGATAGAAACAGCATACTGACTTTTGTGAGGATAAATTATAACATTTAAAATACTGAGCATAAGTCTGGTATACAGTAAGCACTTATTAAAGTTGACTAGTATAATACTAGTACATTAAATCTTATAGATAACTGGATGAAGAAAACTATACATATTTTACATAAAGAACATTACTAAACATGTTCATTCTCTTCTGTCTGTAAAATATGATAACCTTAAAGACAACTGCATACCAACTCACTGTTATAAAGATAACCCATATTTATTACAATTTTTTTCAAATTATCACTTAAATTAATAGCACAGAGTTTTATTGTAGGAACAAAGTTAACTTAGACAACACTTAAGAGTGAACTGTAAGTCCATACACCTTTACTTCTCACCAAGATAACTGACAGTCTTCTAATATTTTCCTCATTCAGTTCTTGCCCCACTACAATCTATGTTCTACACTGAAGTGATTCATTTAAATTACCACTGTCAGCAATTGACCTCTGTATCCCTAGTGTGTGGTGCACACTACAGATGGTCCACAAAAACTTGCTGACTGAACAAATGCCATGAATTTAATTGATGCTTGTTATGGTTTGTGTCTAACTCCCCCCCCCCCCCCAACCTCACACAGCCATTGGGGCAGGGTTCTGGAGTTTGTGATTGATTACAATGGGTGTGGTTCCTGAACTGGCTCTGAGGCAGGTAATTTGCATTACAGTGTAAGGAGGGGAGACAGGCTAGCTAGAGCAGCTGCTTCTCCCCTTTGTTGCCACCTTGAACAGCTGCTCTGTGCCATGTGCCTCTGCCTTGAAGCCAGAAAGTATGGACTGAAACCTCCACTGTGAGCTAAATAAACCTTTCCTTCCTTCATTTTGCATGTTGGGTATTTTGTTCCAGCAGTAAGAGATAAGTAACTAAGACAATGCTCAAGAAGTTCAGTTCACAGATAGATAGGCTAAGATAGAGGGGAATTCATTTCTTTTAACAAATAACATTTGATTTTCTCCAAGACATCAGATAAGAGTTCATTTAAGACTCATAACTCTTCAACCTTCACCAGGGATATTTATAAGCATTAATAAACAGCAACATTAGTTTGACTTCTTTCAATCTTCTTACACATAATTCTTAAATCTACATAAAAACTCAAACAATTAAAAAAAAAAGTAAATGACAAGCAATCGTATTCATTTGGTCACTGAAATACCTGAGGATATGCTATTTTCCGGGCACAAGGTGTTCATCAGGCAACATCGGCCCTCTGCACCCAACTAAATGTAACTGTTCATAAATGACTTTTCACTCTAATTAACTCATACTGGTTTGTCTGAAAAGCTTTACACAACATTTTAAGACAAAAATCATCTTGCTTATTGTGCTCCAAAGATTAAGAAAACACTAATTGAATCCCTTTCAATTTTATAATTATAAAGAACAATTAATAAGATTAAAAACACTTACCTTGAACTGGGAAAGCAATTCATCTCCTACAGTTAAAGGGCCTGGTTCATTTTCATGAGTTTCAGCCCTCTTCAAAATTTCATCTATATCCATTTCCTGTAATTAGAAGGACGTCTTTACTTTAAATATACTTAAATCCTTCTCTCCTATCCTATTAAAATGTAATACATATAACACATCTCAAAGTAATATATATATTTTTTTAACCTGGGGTTCTTGTTCTTCTCCTTCAGGTTCCTTAAAAAGTTCCTCAGCACCAAACTTTAAAATAGCTGATAATTCTTCTTTATTGAAAGGCGTAGAACTAAAACCAGGAGAAATAAAAATAGTATTAACTCTTAATATTTACACAACACTTCATTATACTGAAAGTCACCGTCAGAAATTGAACAAGCTATATAAAGAAGTTAAATGTGCAAAGTTTTTTAATACATTTATTTTAAAATGAACTTGAAGCATAAAAAAGTTGAAGGGATTTTCCTCCCATGACTATAAATTCACTATATTGAAACTGGGTAATATAACACCTTCAGAAAATAAGGGTAGAGTAACTAAAAGTAACAATTTTTGTTGCAAAGTAACCACCTTGATGGAGCAGAACCTGTATGCAGTACTGTCTTCCCAGTTGTGTCCATTCTTTGAATCACAAGATGATCTAAAACCATCTTCTTTTTGGCCCTTTCAAGAATATCTTCTTCAACTGATCCCTTTGTAACTAGACGATATATATTCACCTGCAAAAATAGGTATAAAGAGCAGACTGCAGTGAAAACCATTTACCTGAAGCACCCAAACACAAGTACAGACTGATTCACACTGTGTGAAGCTTTCACCTCAAAAGTAAAACGAAGTTTAAAAAGCAAATGAAAATTAATGGCTATCAGCCAGGCATGGCAATGCACACTTGTGATCCCAGAACTCTGGGAGGCTGATGCTCTTGACTCAAAAAAATACTGAAGATGAAGCTGAGTGTGACGATCCTGACCATAAAAAAAGTTCTATAATTTAGAGACTAATTTGAGAATGTATATATTATCTTATATTTTCTTAGATTTTATTTGCTTATTTTTGTTTTTAAAGTAATGACAATTACTTTTAGATTGCTACAGCCAAAAGAAAACTTCAATTCTGTACCAGTTACACTTCAGTGTGCCATTATTGTACATAACACAAAATTCTATGAATTACTCCCTAATTAATAATGCCTTAGCTATAAATAAAGTTTCCAAAACTTGAAAAGAATATTGATGCATAGTAAATTTTCCTTATTTCTCTAGGTCAGAGAGAGGTTATATAAAAAATAATGCTACTCTGTAGGAGCGTTTTGTAACCGAATCACTAGACAAGCCAACAGATTTATAAAATGGGGCTAGCTTTTATGTGTATAAAATTCTCTAAGTTCATGGACAAAATACAGGCTAACAGGTAGCATTGTGCTACTTAAACTCTTCCAAAAGTTAAAATATATAAACCGAGACATTAAAGGTTCTATATTGAATGAGAAACACTGAACCCTGTTATTATGAACTTAATGTATGATCAATAAAATCAGAATAAATCCTATTTAGGTACAGTTATATCAATTCTGTCAGTCCAAGGGATTTTAGCAAACTAAGTTACAATGATCAACCAGTGATGTTGGCTGATTAAGACATTAATCATAATTTTTTTCCAAAATGATTCTAAGTAACCTAACAAAATTTAAAAATACCTGTTTCTTTTGTCCAATTCGATGGGCTCTTGCCTGTGCCTGAAGATCATTTTGTGGATTCCAATCAGAATCAAAAATAACAACAGTGTCAGCAGAGGCTAAATTAATGCCTAAACCTCCAGCTCTTGTAGAAAGCAAAAAGCAGAAATCCTGTAAGGAATTAGAAACATGTAGATACTTTAAATTCTCCTAAGCAATGACTGAATAGCTCAGTTAAAAATCTTACAACTGATTTTCTGAACTTATATTTTAGTAAGAAAACAGAAAGGAGGGCTGGCAAGATAGCTCAGTGGACGAAAGCGCCTGCTTAGACAAGGTTAGGAAAGAGCAGGGATTGCAGTTCAATCCCTGGCACCATATGCTGCGCCTGCCCCACTCCCTGGGCATGCTGAGTAGTGGTGCATGCCTGCAGTCCCAGCGCTGGGGAGGCTGAAAGCAGGAGTATCACTGTAAGTCCAAACTGTGTAGTGAGACCCTGTAGCAACCAAATACATTAAAAAAAAAAAAAAAAAAAACCTGAAAGTAAGTATTAAATTAATACATAAACCTTAAGCAAGACCAAACAAGACTCTAAAACACAAATACTTATTAATAACAAATAACACATTGAATATGGTATTTACTTCTGGTAAAAAAAAAAAAAAAAAAAACAATAGGAAATAAGAGATGGGGCAAAAATATTTTGAAACAAATTAACTATCATCCTGAAAAAGTATAAAATTCTTGATTTAAAACAGAATATAAGGGGCCAGGAGATGGCTCAGTGGAATAAGTGCTTCCCTGGCAAGCGCAAGGGTCTGAGTTCAATCCCCGGTTCTGCAAAACAAAACAGAATATATATTAAAAAAAGTATAATTTAGAACCTCGTTTGTGAGCTGAGCATGTAACTGAGTGTAACATGCTGATGATATAAGGCAAATATAAGGCCTTGGGGCTTGATCCCTGGCATAATAAAAAGCAAGAAACAAAACTTTCACTTCCTAGTAGAAACCATAGGAAGACCAAAAACAAGACACAAACATGATGCTTCAGCAAAATATCAAAATAATTGCTAAATGAAATTTACAATTCTAAAAGCAGTCTTATTGGATAAAAATGATATGGTATTTTTTATACAATGGAGCTATAAAAAAGATAAACTCTTTTATAGGTAAATGGATCCAACTAGAGACCATATCTGTAAGTGAAATAAATCAGGTCCCTAGGTGTAAACATTACATTGTCTCCCGAGTGTAAGAACTGGAAAGAGCAAATAAAATCTGAAAGGTATAATAGATATTGTGAAAGGGAAAGAAACTGCTCAAATGGAAAGAACAATTGGGATGAGGGAAAGGAGAAAAGATAAAAGGAAACACACAACATGTACACACACACAATAGCTAAGACAACTATACTCCTATCATTTTATTGAAAGGAACAATTAATGCTTGATCAATCTTGCATGCCTATATCTGGTAATCTGAGCAACTACTTTGAAGACACATATGTCATACAACAAACATTGTTAATTTCCTATCATCTTGTTTTTGAACTCTCTATCATTTTTATTGTTTTTGTGTTGTTTTGTTTGTCTTTGTTTTTATTTTGCTTGTTTTTTTCTCTTTAAAATAAAAATAAATAAAAGCATTCTTACCTCTGATCCCTCAGCATTAAAATGATCTAGAGCTTGTTTCCGCAGCTCCCCTTTAATGGATCCATCTAATCTCTAGAACAAAATAACACAAAAATATTGCATGTATCAAAATCAAATGTTTTCTTTAAAAAGCTATTAAAATCAATTATGAAATTAAGTAGAAAGGGGAGTATGCACTCTGCTCAAGTGTTAGGAGAGTTACGGCAGTGAAGCAATACCTAGGCCTTCTGCATTTATTTACCAAATGACATTCTGCTTAGACTAAGACTGAACCAAGTTGGTTTTTTGTTGTTTTTTTTTCCTGTATTTCAGGGAAAGGTCTATAGGGTGTTCAGTCTCACTACTAGTTCGGACTTGTAGTGATCTTCCTGTTAACAGCTTCCCAAGAGCTGGGATTACAGGCACGTGCCACCACCCGGTCTCAATTGCTGTCTCAGTGTGCCCCGGGGGCGGAGCTGGCATGGCAAGCCCCGGGATTAAACCCCTGGCCCCTGCAGAGCAAGACATTTACAAACACATGAAATAAGGTCCATGACATGATATATTCTCATACTTTATAACCACTTCATCTTCTAAATTGTGCAACTTGTTAAACTGACTTCCAGATTTATCAGTAAATTACAACCCATTTTTTAAAACAACACTGATAAAGTCAAGTGTGATTACTGAACCAATAGTATTAATAGTAACTGCCAGCAGAGTAATAATTTTTTTTTTTTTTTTGGCAGAACCAGGGATTGAACTTAGGCCTGTGGTGCTTGCCAGGGAAGCGCTTATTCTACTGAGCCATCTCCCCGGGCCTCTTGCAACATAGTAATTGTTGAGGGAATGGTCTTGAGAAATCCCTTCAGTTAATTCCAAAAAATGCCCAGCAGCAAATTCCGAAAATCTGAAGTAAGGTGTCATAGACTCTCCTTAAATAGCCAGCACTAGTATCTTTTTCTGTATGTGCCTTACGAAAGAGATTCAACCTTCTCCATGTCCATTTCCTTCAGTGAAATGGATATATTACTGCACCCTACAGAAGACACAGTGGGAGAAAGTGGAAAGACACTTAGCTGAGTACTTGACATAAGCTGAGTGTTTATTAAGCATTAGCTATTAATGCTTTGCTTAGCATTGGTGAGAGCTGGTTTAATCTCTAGCACAGGGGAAAAGCAACAGCTACTATTTTCAGTTAAATTATGATTTACATTTATTTTATAATGAAAAAGTGGTTTTCAACTAGACCTAACTTGCCTACTGTAATATTATTTGATGGGTTAACTAATATTTTAGGAAGCTATATGCCAAACTTGATGCTTATATAATATCTTTTAGCAGTTGACAACATTTAGTAACTATTTTTGATACAAGTTCTCAGTAGACAAGTTATAAATAGGAGTTTCTTTAAACCTGAGAAACTACACACATAAATTATTCCAAACATTACAACTATCAGTGGATCATTTTAATCACTCCCCATACGTCTATTCACCAATAAGCTAAAAATTATAGCAAGAGTAATGAGAAAAAAAGATTTTAAAGAAAAACTGTAAGAATTGGAAAGAAAGTAATTATCACAAATAGGAACTGCCTACTAAATGGGAAACATGAAGGAATTTTACCCAAATTATTAAAATAAAGAATAAAACCAGCAAGTTTTAACAAAATTATCAGTTACAAGATTAACAATCTCCTTCATAAAAGATTAACAGCCTAAAATCAGTGGCATTTTTATAAACTAGAAATAAAAAGATAGAAAATTCAAATGTTAAAGATATTATTTACACTAGTAAGTGCAAAAATCAAGTAACAGTATAACAGAAACTATGTAAAAATACGTTTTGGTTTGGTTGGCTGCACAGTTTGTCATTCTGAGTTTATTCCTGAAAACAAACAAACCTATGCTTTAATTTCCATGACATTTCTGAAGAGAATGGAGATAAAAATCGATCCTTTTTCAAGACTTTCAAGCAATACTTTTTTTTATTTTAAGATCCACCTATATCCCGTATCCAGGTTACCAAGTCAAGAATCCTTTGAATGTCTGCAACACAGATTCACTGCTTCTAAACTTTCTAAAAGGTTATTATTTTGCTTTCTTCAGTTTACTTAATTTGTTACCACACATCTACCATTTAGATTTCATTCTCCTTTCTCTTGCTCCTGTGTCCTGGACAGTTTGTACACTTTGACCATCACTTCACTGTTTCAGAAGACTTTATGGGAGAACAAAGACTTAAAACTTAATATGTAAGGTTCTCACTTTACATCTTTTCAATCATCTTTTCCATCTACCTTAATGCACTTTTAAAAAAATCTAGGGCTGGTGAGATGGCTCAGTCGTCTAAAGCACCTACTTGGAACAAGCTTGGCAAAGCACAGGGACCACATGCCAGCGAGCCCCACCCCCTGGTGGGCTGAAATGGCCACACACACACACACACACACACACACACACACACACAGAATAATAAAAATAAATAAAATTTAAAAAAATCTAAGGCAAGCATAGAAGAGACATCAAAAATAAAATTACTGTGTTCCTAAACTTAAGAAAAATAATAAAGTAGCTATAGTGCTTTAAAAGAAAAATATAAAAATCTGTATATAATTTCAAAGGTAATTCTATAAAACAAGGTCAGGAATTAGGTGAAGCAACAATGAAATACTTACCTGAAAGGGAAATTGACGATATTTCAAATATTCTGCAAGTATATCTAACATCCGCACCATTTGAGAAAAAATGAGAACTCGGTTGCCTCTTTCCCTTAGACGAATTAACAGCTTGTCAAGCAGAATTAATTTTCCACTACTACGGATTAAGTGCTAAGGAGAACAACAATTTACAACTGTTAAAAGATATAAATTATACAAATGCACCACTTAATACTTCAAATTCTTTCAGTATTTTCAATTGAGATTTTAATGCTGAAAAACAATTTTCCGTGATCTTTTAGTTTTGATATGATATAAATTAAAATTGTCTGTCATTTAGCATTTAAGTTTTTGCATTTTTAAGAGTAATAAAAAGTTCTATTTCACTCTATTTTATAGTTGTTATCCTGCTTTTCCAAAAACCTTCCACCAAAAACCAAAACAAAGAAAACATGAACTCTACATAAATAGCAACAATTAGGTAAACAAAAGTTTTAAATAAGCAAGCATATATTAGTAACTGAATCTAGTGTATACACTCAGTGACTCAATTAGGATGTGGTTTTACCTGATTTGTCTTCCAGACATAATGGGAAAGGTAGACTCTGAGACAGTAAGATGTCCTTTTTAAGAATACCATTTGCTGAGTCACACACTCAGCATAATCACTACTTGTGAATCTTTTTACAATTATTAAGATACAAGTTTCTTGCTGTATATATGGATGACAGAAAAATATGGTGAATGCCAGGTGTAATGGCTGGCACAGGCCTGTAATCCCAGCACTCAGGAGGCTGAGGCAGGAGGAACATTCAGTTTGAGGCCAGACTGGGCTACAAAAGGAGACCTTGTCTCCAACAACAAAGCAAAGGTGAATATTTAAATTTTTAAATATGCATTACAATAAAAGACACTGCCAGGAACCCCTCTCTAAATATTCTCCCTCACTTCAAACATACTGATCCCATCATTCTTGCCACTTTCTCAATCAATTCTGCAAGTGCTCTTCACTGAGTGTTTTTACTTTTGCTCTATGGCTGCCTTACTGTCCTGAATTAATTCACAATGCTCACCTTACATGGTTCTTTTGATTTCAGCTATAAGTTGTAGAGGACCAACTCCACTGAATAAGGTGGACGAAAGCACAAGCGCACACTAATGTTATTTACCAACCTATCTCTGTGTTGTATAGCAAGCAGTAGCATTCACTGTATTTTTCATTATACCTCAGTAAAGACACAAGACAATGTCTCTGTAAGCAAGGGAGAATGAGTATAATGTGTCTTCCACTATAGTAATTTTGTTAAGCATCCGTTATATATTTTGACCATGCTTAAGAAACTGCTACACTGTACAGTTTGATTAAGTTTTTAGGAAACTGATCACAATTCAAAAACTAAAATTATTAAAGCTTTTTTTATTTTACGCAGGTTAAACTATAATCAAAATCATTATTTAAATGACACATTAGCCAAATGGAATTTCAAATATAGCATAGCATAGCACACTTTTCAGTTAAAACAGAAATAAATTAATACTGCTTTATACAAATAAAATGAATTTTTCTTACAACAAAGTTAACAATATTTAAAACTTCTTACTTGTAAGGCCTCCTGTTTATTATAGAATTCATTATTATCTGGTGGTTTAATGAGGTAGCAATGGTTACAACATTTCTTTAGCTCCATCATAATGTTCAAAAAGCCTGAGGTACTGCCCTTGGAACCTTTGCTGAGGGCTTTGTAATTCCTAGTTAAAATCCACCTTTAAAAACAAAAGAATTATGAGAATGGTGTTTACAGAAAAATTATTGAAATAAATTCTGACTCCATAAAGAAGAGATACAGTGCCCGGGAATACTGCACTATCTTGCCATTCACAGGCAGACACAGGACAGAGCCTCATCCATAACGCGCAGGAACACGTAACTTGTGAGCTGAAACACCAAGTACACACCGGAAAGCGCTCAGTGTAATACAGTGAGTACAGTATGTATGATAATTCTTTACTCCCTGAATCTAGTAAAAACATAGTGTTCTTCCTTAACATTTTTACAAATTTCACTTCATTAGACAGCTATTGAAATTCAATCTTCTTCACAGACCTAAAAAAAATACCAAGAAGCAGCCTAGTTTTGGATATACTATGTTTTTCTAATTATGTAACTTTATAGAAAACTTGGTGATAGTTTACTATATACTCGAAACTACACATAGAATTTCCTCTTAGTAGGAGTTAACTTCTGTTCCAACACATTTTACTTCTTTCTTACCAAGTTAGGTTTTCAAAGGGATTTTATAATCCATAAATACCTGGTGTGTTCTCTTATTACCAATCTTTACCACTTAGTTATTCAGTATCTGTTATGGTTTGTGTCTAGTTGTCCCCACAAAGCCTCATGCAGCCATGGGATGGCTTCTAGAATTTGTGATTAACTCTTGATCCAATGCTAGGATTATAGCTGTGTTACACTCGCGCTGAGGCAGATAATCTTCATACAATACCGGAGGGGAGAGACACCTGCTAGCTGCCACAGCTGCTACTCTTCACTCTTTGCTGTTTTCCACTGCCATGAACTGCTGCCCTCTGCCATGTGCAGTCATTTCCTTAGAACCAGCTGAGTATGGACTGAAACCTCCACTAACTGTGAGCTAAACTTTTCCTTCTTTAATTTTGGGTATCGAGTATTTTGTCCTAACACTGAGAAAAAAGTAACCATGACAGTTTCTAAGTCTAAGTCTAAAGAGCAAAGCAGAACCTATGGACAATGCTCAACACCATTAAAGGTAATAAAAACGAGATTATTTTTCCCTCTCCAGAAAGATTTTCTTGACCTTCTCTTAAGGTAGCATTATAAAAACACCTTTACATAAACTTACGGCAGTATTTTATTACTTTAGTTTCAAAAAAACCACCTGGAAGGGTCTAAACCCTAACGTCCACGACAATGACCAACAAGCATTCATAAAACCACAGAGAACTGTTCATCTATTTCAGCACTGCTCTTCATTTTAAAAGAACTCCATAACAAAATTAGAATACTATACCATCATTTTGCATTATAAAACATACTATGGTCATGAATTAAAATGTAAATTTAAGCAATCACCTGATGTATCAACCAATCTATAAAAAATATACAACACGTGTTAAAACTATTCCCAAAAAAATGTAATATGCAAAATATAGATTATGGAAAAATTTGATGGGATAGTTATTTTCCTCACCAAATATTTTTAAAAAGAAGAACCTACACATAAGAGGTAAAATCAAATGTCATCAACAAACCTTGCTTCAATTTTGATTCAGGCAAACTTTCACAGAAAGCTCAAGACTATCCAGAACATCTGAACATTAATATTAAACACTTAATATCATGAAAATACTATTTGCATTTTAAAATGGGATGCTAGTGTTTAAAAAAAAAATCATTAGAGATGACAGAAAAAAGTCTGTGGATAAAAAACCTACTTCTGCTTTGCCTGACAAAGTGAAAAGAAATGGAGATGATGATGCGATAAAGCAAGAGTGGCTATAAGTTAAAAATTAAGGTGAATGACTATACCATAAAACATGAGTTTTAAAATATAATACTATGTTTGCATGTGTTTGAAATGTTCTGTAATAAAAACCTAAAAAATTATGTGAAAACTACATTATTTAAATGCATAGCAGCCTATAGATTTTTATCATAAAATACAAGTGTTTCTGAAACTCCAAATACACGTAGCAAGGTATTTCATTTTATGCTGCTAAATATTTAAATAGATACCAGGACTTACTGTCCCATTTGAACCTTGGAAAAAATCTTACTTTATAGATCATGCCATATAAAATTATATCCAATATGATTTGTCCATGTTCATCAAAAAGCAGAGGCCTAACTCTCTCTTCCTCTCAATTATAATTACATAATATCTCACTATCATAGAAATCAAGAGGATCAGAATATTAGAAAAAAAAAAAAAAAACTCTTTATAATGTAAGACAATGAGACCTAGGAAAGAAATTAACAGTGTGTTACAAGATGATTTAGCCTTGTCATCCCCAAATCATGGACGTGTCATTAAAACCCTATGCCCCATTATGCTACAGAATAAAACTATTCTCAAATTTCACAACTGCTACAACTCTAAGACTTATTGATGGGGAAGTGGGCCCAGGGATAAGGACAGAATATAGAGGTTATTCAGAATTAAATGCTTAGAATATATGTTCTATGTAAAACATCACAACTTACTTATAATACTGTTTCTGTAAAGCACTCATTTCCATTCTTAAAATCTGTTCAACCTTGGCAGGAAGAGATTTTTCTACATCTTTTTTAACTCGGCGTAACAGAAACGGCTCAAGCTCCTTGTGAAGACTTGCGTAACCATATTCTCTCCCTTTGCCATGTTCTTCTTCAAAATCTTCCCAAGAAGAAAACCTTTAAAATTTGAGACAATGGAACAATCACTAAAAAAAAGCTAAAATGTGTATGATACTGATCAAGGTAATCATATTAAGTAAGAGTTTTAGGGGGAAAAATAAGGGTTAAATTTAATCTCATGTAAAAACCTGTCTCCCATAAAGTCCATTTTACATACATAAATATGTGTGTGTGTAAAGCACTTAAAGAAGTTGAAGTATTTTCAAGTAAAAAAGTAACTGTCACTACTGATTCTCAAAAATAAAGTTATAGCTCTTTTAGAAAAAAAGTAACCTTTAATAAGTCATTTAACCTTTTTAAGTCTATTGTTTTGTTTTAATTATATACCTGGGTTACTTCCACAAAGTTCAGTTACAAATTTCCAAAGAATGTACTCTGGAACAACTACAAAATCAATTATTGTAATTTGTAACATACAGCTTAACTCTATATACAAAAATTTAAAAATTCAAAAATAAATCCCAAGTATTATCCTACTACCTTTCCTGTTTTCATTAATCTGTGTTCTAGTGCTTTAGGGCAATAAAATCAGTTACTGACCTTACTAGATAAACTAATTCTGTTCTCACGAAAAACCTACACATAAAACTATGATTGCAAATGTGTAATGAGGGCCAGCTTCATAGCTCAGCAGACTAAAGTGCTGCTTAGGCAGAGCACAGCAGCTGGGGTTTGACCCTGGGCCTGGGCCTGCCGTGCCTTGTGGTGCTGTGCCAGGCCAGCCCCACCCCGCAGGGCATGCTGAGGTGGCGACTGAGACTGGGCGTGGTTGTGCACACTTGTAATCCCAGCACTTGGGAGGCTGCAAACAAGAGAATCCCTATGAGTCTGATCTACATAGTGAGAACCTATAGACCCTGTCCTAAATGCAGAAAAAAAATACAATAAAATAAAAAAATAAAATGTATGATGAAAATTTTTCTTACTTTTCTGGCATAATGAAATGGAGCAATGACCACAGCTCTTTGAGAGAGTTCTGTAAAGGAGTTCCAGTGATAAGGAGGCGGTGATTAGATTTAAAATCTATCAATGTTTTGTATAGAAGAGAATCATCATTTTTTAATCGATGTGCTTCATCTACACCTATGAATGCCCAATTCAGACCACCAAGAAAAGCCTTAGAAGAAACAAAGAAATATAGTTAATAGGTGTATAGAGAGAGGATCCAATGTCAGCCTTCTCATTTGATCGGAACTAAGGTTGCTAAAATGAGACAAATTAAAATTAAAAAACCTTTGTCTAATTTCTAAATAAGAAGCATTTCAGGTTTTACTAGAATTTTCAAATTATGTAATCCAACATACAAAATAAAGTTTCTTCTAGGATTAATTTAACACTTAGCAAATGGCACATCAACTCAGTTTTACTAGATTAGACAATGCTAAGAAAAAAAACTCATATTACTAATTTAGGCATTTTTAATAAGATTTCTAATTTAAGTACATTAAAGATCTCTATCGAGGCCGGGGAAATGGCTCAGTAAAATAAGCGCTTGCCTGGCAAGCACAAGGGCCTGAGTTCAATCCCCGGTTCCACCAAAAAAAAAAAATCTCTATTAACATCAACTTGGAACAGATTTGACTTCACATGTACTCCAAGACTTTGATGAACTGATGGTCTTAACATAAATTTAGGTCTCTGACTGAAAACACATGGGTCTGATCCTACTGTGTCAATTCTGGCCAGTCTTTGAGACTTGATTTTCCTCTTCAATATAAAAAGAAATAGAAAATAACTTTCAAGTAGGTAAATTAAACAAAATAGTAGTTATAAATGTATTTCACATCATGGTAGCTTAATCTAGTTAGGCAACTTCTTCCTCTTTAAAGAACTTACACATTGATAGACAATATCAAACTGGTTTCACCTAAGTCAAGAGTTGACAATCTTTTCCTGTGAAGAGTCATATGGTAAATATTTTAAGACTCTGCAGACCAACAATGTGGTCTATTACATATTCTTTCAATATAACCCTCTCAAATATGACACTTTAAAACCTTTTAGAATGTAAAAACCATTCTTAGTTTAATGGTCATATATAAGAAAATCATCCCCCACACTACAGATTGTTGAGTCATGCATGCCATGACTTAAGTGATACTTTCACTCTATCAACATATGGTAACGAAAAAACTAGCACACCAAACCAAAAAAATATCACATACCTTATCCTTCAATAAAATTTCATAAGTTGTTAGAAGTATATTAAATTTTAACCGTTTGGTCTGGGGATGCATCCATTCATGAGTTCTTATCTATTAAAAAATTTAAGGACAATTCTAAGACAAACATTAAGTAAATTATACTTTACTGAATATCTAAAATATAATATGGTGAAGTACACATAAAGCTAGTAATGAACTGAAACTGTCAGACTAGAAAAGAGGAAGTGGATGCTCAGACACTGTTTTGCTTTTCTGTATACAGTCAGTTCTTGACTTACAAACACTGGCATTACAAACTAACACAGATACAAACGGACCTTAAGCTACATTGGTAGATGCAAACTGTAGAAGGTGCTCTTATGTCTCTGGACACTGTCAGCTGTGTTGCTGTGTACTTACTGCATGTGTAGTAGTACCATACAACTGGGGATTTACTGCATCTATGAGTATGTGTTTGGATTTTTAAAGCTTTATTTTAAAGGCATGTTAAAATTTTATTGAATTTAAGAACAAATTTGACTTGCAAACATTTCCCCTAATATATGAGGTTGGGAGCTTACTATATTTGAAATTTCTTGAGAGAGAAAGCAGATAGATATATCTATACTAAATCACAATTTATGTAGCTAAGTATGTATTATACATCTAGTTTTGGAAAGTTTTCTTAAAATTAAGATTACAGAAACAAAACAAAATAGTCATCTCATAAGATACGTATGGTTAGACTTCCAAATTTGCAGAGAAACAACTTACCATGTTTCTGCTGTTAATGTCCCCTAAATACACAACAGCATTCATCTGAGAAGCCCATGTCTGAATCTCCCTTTGCCAAGAAGTGAGAGTGGACAATGGTACTACTAATAGAAAAGGTCCATATAATTGATGTTCGTGAAACAAGTAATTCAAAAATGAGATTGTCTGTATCGTTTTTCCAAGACCCATTTCATCAGCAAGTATGCAACTATTTCCTCTACAAAATTAAAAACAAGAACAAAACATTATGTATGCAGTAATGATCCAAATATTCAAAGTAACTTCTTTTATATCACTCACATACATCATATAGTTATAAAAAAATGAATAATTATCATATTATACCATTTTTCAATGAGCTACAATTAATAAATGTGAAAAGGGTATTAGGTATTGTGGTACAGAACAGTAATTCCAGCTTATTCTAAAGCCTCAGGAATTAATACAAAACAAAACAAACAAAAAAAACAACAGATAATAAATGAAAATCAGGGATAAAAAAAGTCACAGGACTGTCCTGCTACAACGCTGTATATGGTTAGATTTCTAAATTTCCTTGTAAAAATAGGTTAATGCTTATTCTTATTTTTAAATTTTTTTTATCTTAATCTTTTTTCTTCATATTCTAGAGGGACTCAAAGTTTAACATATCAATACTTGATGGAAAATACCTGTTCCATGTTATGTCTAAGATGTTTGACACCCAGACAGATAGTGAGGTTAAGCTCAACTGCCTATGTTGTAGGGTAATAATAATAAGCCTCTCTTCTGAAGGGTTAACACCCTAAGTTTGCAGACCAAAAATTAGAGAAAAAGAAGGGCTGCAAGACAGCCAACATTTTGGCCGTAGCCTTTCAAGGTCAGTGAAGACTCAGGACATAGGAGATTCTGTACTGTAACATCATGTAACTCAGTTGTACCCCAAACTTTCTGATCAAGGAGATTATGAGGCCACAGAGGAAAATGAATGATAATGCAGAGTGTACCTAAGGAGAGTCACATGGAGAGAAAACATTCTCTCAGGCTTTCACAGAGAGCAAACTGGTCAAGCAATGGCTGTGACTCATCCACATGGCTGACACTGACGAAGGATCTACAAACTGCAATACAGAGTTTCAGGGTAAATCGTGAGGGGATCTGACTGACCTTATCAGATACAAAAGTTACATTTCTTGTTACATAGGTCTTGCTTTAACTTGGCCCTAACCATCCAGCAGAAAAGTGTAAAAACAAGATATAAAAAGTAAAGCCATATTTATATGCTGAGCTGTAAAAGGCTCAAGTCAACAACTTGAGACATTGCCACTCTTATGGATAACCCACTACTATTATGGACTACTGGACTATATTGGGATATTTTGCTGAATTCATGCACCTACAGTATCTAAATGACAGTAGAATGCCCTTCTCTGACAAAACCCAAAAAGTGGGATAGAAATGAATGTCCATTTTGTATCGGTCTACTCAAAATAGGATAGATACACAGATCCATTCTCTTAATTCAATGAATAGAGATGTTTGTTCTAATAGTGTTTGAGACAAGATATCATGTCTGCATCTTGCACAATAAATAACCATTAAGACAACAATATGCAATGTATTGATTATTGAAAATGTGCTAGTAATCGGTTGTGAAACTATCCCATTGCTATTTGTTTCTCAATAAAATTATTAAAAATAAATAAATAAAAAAATAAAGCCTCAGGAAAAAGGATCAAAAGTTTAAGGTCAGCCTGGGCAACTTAGCAAGGCCCTGTGTCAAAATAAAATATAAAAGAGATTGGGGATGCAGTTGAACAGTACACCATTGGGCTACCAAATGCATGAGACCCTAGATTCAATCCCAAGCAGTGCTATGCTCCCAGCTCCAAAAAATCATAGTGTGTGGAGAAAATACTACAAGAAAAATAAAGAAAGATGGGTATGGTACTCAAAACCTACGATCCCAGCACTCCATGAGTTTGAAGCAAGGGGATGATGAGTTCTACCCTACTCTGTTCAACCTGACGATGTACTGAGGGACCTCTCAAAAATAAAAGGGAAGGACCAGGGATGTAGCTCAGTGCAAAGTCCCTGGGGTCAACACCCAGTACCATAAGGTGGGAGTATTGCCACATTAGATCAGAGGTTTAAAAATTAACTTTTAAAAAAATTAACTTATCTACTCAATAAATTATGAAAACAAGAGTACAATTTGTCTCTCCAAACAGTAAATAAATTCTCCAAGAAAGTAACACTTGAAAAATCATACCCAAATTACATCCTAGAGATTTATGTATACTTTCAAGAGTTGGAGGGACAGGCCAAAGATAGAGGACTAAATGGTTATTAGACATATAACTAGGGAAGGAAAAAGGATATAGCTCACTGGGATAGTGCTTCCCAGATATTTACAAATCCCTGAGTTTAATCCCTAGTGTGTGTGTGAGTGGGGGGCGGGGGTCTGAGGGTGACTAGAGCAGGAATAATGCGCGATAGAACTGCATAATATTTCTTTAAAAATTGGATTGTAATACGTTTAAGAACTACATCTATCATAGCCAGGCACGCTGGGACACATCTACAATGTCAGCACTCAGGAGGCCAAGGTAAGACACTGTTTGAAGCCAATCTAGGCTACAAAATGAATTTAAGACTATCAAGACCCTGTCTCAAAAAATTGGGGGTGTGGGGTCAGAATACACACACTAAAAAAAAACTGAAACAACTGAACTCAAGTTCCAATAGATTTCTTCCTAGTATATAAGTATTGTTTATACACTGTATTCACTTTTTCTGAATTGTGTATCGGCAGGCAAATTAAGATAATTCAAAATATACTTACTTGCACCAAGAGTGAGCAAGCCAATTTAAACCATTGAGTTGGTAATCTCTTAATTCTAAACTTTCATGTCCTCCAATATACGATGGCTGCTTCTTCAAGGCTACAAATCTTGGTCTTTGTTTTAATACCTTCAGAGGAAAGTGTTAACATATAGACTTTATCTAAGGAATTATACTGCAAAATGAAAGCCTAAGCTTTCACTGTAAACTTCAAAATTCCATCAAGTCAATTTCAGATATTATATGACTGAATATATCTAAGGATTTACAGAGTACTATTTTCTGTGACTCATAGCAAGAATGTGGAGTGATCATTTTGCTCTTTTTAAACAAAAAACAGAGAAAATAAAGTTCCTGCCAAATACATGAGTCTCATGTATTTCATAAGCAAAAACTATTATAAACTGAAAAACTTAAAATTAATTCATATCCATCACTGCAGTGCTGAACTAGAAAGTAAAACACAGGAACAGATTAGCTTTCCTTACAATATCTAATTTTCTAAATATTCTTACAAACAATTCAATTTTGTAATAGCTAAGAGTTGTAATAGTACCTTACCTTAAACTATCACTAATAATTTTTATAAATTGAAGATTTCAGAACTATCAGCAGCAAAGTAATCCTTGATAAATCTGTTGAGTATGATCCTCTTGCACTTCCTTAACTTCAGAGAAAAGTATGCTCTCTACTTTTTATCTGAGTATATACCTCTAGTTTCCAAGAAAATTTTTTAACCAGCCCACTCGTCACAAATTCCATCATCATACCATTATCAGTTTATCACCTTTGTGACATAATACCACTCACCAAGGATAAAAGTTAACCACATCAAAGATCACACAGCAACGACAGGAACCTCACTTCCTGTAAGACCTATGAAGTACCCTTCTTCACTTTGACTGAAATCAAGATCCAAATCCTCTATTTAGATTTATATTTATGATGCATAAATACATTTTCATTAATTGAAAATGCCAAATAATACTCACTTTGCAATCTTTAAAAGGAGTGGTTTTTGACTGGTTCCTGCTAAAATACTCATCAATGCATGCCTGAAATTTTTTGGAAATGAGAGCTCCATCTTCCCAGCTGCATTCTGAGTATGGAAGGCCCTGCCATTTGCAATAATAGTCAGGATAACCAGCTGCTGACTTCTGGTTGGAATGAGCTGTGAGATAAACCAGGTTGTTTATATTTAATCTTATGAGAGACTAATACTTAGTAAATGCTACACAAGCCAACATGATTTACTTTATAATTCTGTAGTTTAGTAATAGGAAACTAATGTATTTAATATAAATTTATGATTCTTTCAGAAGATTTGAAGATAATTCTAAAACGAAAGCAGAAGGCCAGTGAGACAGCTCAGTGGACTAAGTGCCTGCTTAGGCAAGCACAGGGACCAGGGTTCGCTCCCCGGTACCTCATGCCATGCTGGCCCTGCCCCATGGCAAGCTGAGCCAGCCACTGAGTCCAGGTGTGATGGCACACGCCTGTAATCCCAGCACTGGGGATGGTGAAAATAGGAGGATCACTATGAATCTAACCTGTGTAGTGAGACCCTATATCACATACATAAGTTAAAAATTAAAAATAAAATAGTAGCTTTATCCAAATCTTTTACAACTAACCAATTATACGCTCCACTATCTGGTACTGCTTGTGTAGATCATCTGTAAGCTCTTGTTGGCAGTTATAATATTCCACATCTTCTGGGGAAGCATTTTTCAACCTGGAAAAATTTAACCAGAAACAGACTTCAAAATCTCCTTTAAATAATTTATCTCACTAAATATTATCCATAGTACAAAAGCTCCCATTTTGTCAGTTAATCTTGTTGAGATAAACTCAAGCAATGAAGAAAGTGGTACAGAAATTAATCGTACTTTTTAGTTTCATAAATTTGTAGTTTATAATGTATAAGAAATATTCTTATGTGATTGTTATCAAGGAAAGGGTTGGAGGCTACTCCTAAGGAATCACAACTTGAGATGGAATATTATACATGAGAAATAGCTACATTAGGCTGTCATTTAGTTCTTGGTTTTGTATTCCTAATTATCAAAAGAATTTAGTAGAAATTTTGAGCAATAAAAAATAACATGGTACACAGCATATTTACCATCTTTTTGTTTCCTGATCTTTTTTCTTATAGTTATCCAACTTTTTCATTCCTCTAACATTCTGCTGTTTAAGGGTTTCTTCAGTTTCCCAAGTGTTGTGGATATGGGACCATCCTTTCCATTTAATTAAATACTGGATCTCTCCTGACTCCTTGTTTTTTTCAAATCCTGCATTTGGATCCCCATCCGCTTCAACTGCATAGATGGTTGTAGTAGCACCAGTAGCTGAAAACAAAAGTACAATTTCATGTAGGATTGCTTCCTTTTAACTTAATTTTTTAAGATTACAAAAATAAGAACACTCTCTTAAGAAAACAATTAGGATATAAAAATTTACAGAAAATTATACATAAAACAGAATATGAATTTTAGTGTCGAAGAATTAACTAATTTAAAATGTTAGTTTTACAGATCCAAAAGCTACAATTTTTGTTGCATAGGTATTGCTTATCTTGGTCTTAACCATCCAGCAGAAAGGTATAAAAACGTAGTATAAGTAAAGCCATGGTGTTATGTTCAGTTGTAGGGGACTCTTGTCAACAATTTCTGACACTGCCAGTCAAGCGGAAGACCTTATACTATTATGGACTACTGGACTCTTTTAGAATATTTTGCTGAGTTTACACACCTATAATATTCAAATGATGGAACTAAACAAAAAAGGGAATACAGATGAATGTCCATTTTGTATCTGTGTATTCAAAGTGGTTAGGATATATAGTTACATTCTCTTAATGAATAGAGGGATTTGTTCTAATAGTGTTTGTAAATAGGATATCATGCCTGCATCTTGTACAGCAAATAACCATTAGGAAGAGAGTATGCAATGTGTTAATTATTGGAACTGTCCTACCAGTTTGATTTGAAACTGTCTTAATTGCTATTTGTTTCTCAATAAAATTATGGAAAAAAAATTTTAGTTTTAGTTTTAAAATGAGGGAATAAAGGTCAACACAGTGGAAAACATAAAAGCACATACTAATTTACAATAATTAATAACTGGAAAGTTAAGTTATAATTATTTTTAATTCCCAGCTATTTTAGTTCTAAAAAAAACTACCGCCAACTAAGAAATAATCTACTTAAGAAAAAAATTTTCAAAAACCAAACATTTTGTGAAATTATAAGTGCTTGAACAACAACTAATTACTTAGGTACAGCAGGCCAAAAAATCAAATTCAAAAGTTAAAAATTTTCTAAGTATCCACAATATATGATGAGGTCAGGTGAGTATTTTTTGGGAAGAAGACACTCAAGCCAATAACCAAAGTATACCTTTACAGCAAAGACATAAAACAGAAGAAAATTTATCCTCTTTGACTTTGGTTCTATTAAAAAACCAAACAATAAAATGGTTTTTTTTAAAAAATACCTCCTTTTCTCCCAATACGACAATCCATAAACCTTTCTATTGTTTCAAATTCCTCTTCCTCTGGTTGGGGAACATCTTCTCCACAGACCTCTAGTAGGTCATCGGAATCTGTTTTCATTTCCTCATCTTCCTTGTAGCTCACATTGACAGTTGCCTGGCGACGAGAACTTCTCTTATCATTATCATAGTCTTCCTCCTCCTCATCTTCTTCAGATGAATCAATTTGTCTCTTTTTTTGTCCAAGTATCTTTTTCCCATTTTTTGACTTAGATCTAAGGAAGGATAAGAAAAAAAAAATGTTTCATAAAACCATTAGCGTAAAACAGATGTGCAAAACTATATTCAGAAAGAATATGTTCCATAACATTTTTTTTTTTTTTTTGGTGGAACTGGGAATTGAACTCAGGCCCTTGCTCTTGCGAGGCAAGCACTTATTCTACTGAGCTATCTCCCCAGCCCCTCCATACAATTTTAAACAACAAGTCATGAACATACTACACTTACCTATTTTGCAGTTTCCTGCTTTTTACTTTGTTCTTTGGCTCGTAATCGGATTCAGTTTCATCGCAACTGCTCTTATCTCTTTCTTCTTCAGACTCCGAATCTGAACCAGACTGGGATGGCGATCCCGATCCTGACATTTGCCAATCCTCGCTGTGTATAAAATTTATGAAGTGCATTAATTTACACATGCCTACATAACTATGGCCACTAACAAAATACAGAGATGATTAAATCCTATTCCAGCTAATATTAAGATTCTCGTTATGGATAAAAAACATATTGTTCTACCTTAGAGTCATGGGTTTAATTTTGAAAATTTTGTTAATAGCCTGCTCCAAAAATAATATTTCAATCACTTTTATTTTATAGTTGTCTAGAGGCCATGATTTTTTAAAAACATGTCTTTTAAATTACAGTATATATGTTCATTAAATTTTAAAATCAGAAAAAAAGTCAATAAAAAGACCATCAGTGTTATTCAACCAATATTCAACAATTACCTCAGTCTTTTTACTATTTTTAATCCACTTCAGCTATTTTTTTCCAGTCAATATGTAGAGAAAAAACTGGGTACACACATTAATGTTTTAGAGCTCCAATATGAAAGATACATATTACATTATGTTTACAGACATATCCCCAATTAAAAATTTGAAAATTTCTGAGTATTTTCAGAGTTTAGGAAAACTCAGCTAGAATCTGACATACTCCTGATCCTGAGCACTTAAGGTACAGGACGCCCAGTGTACACCATATCCTGTCCTTAGCAACTGCTCTGCTCTACTGCTCCCCATCTCTTGTAGCAATTATGACAATGCTAAAGCAACACAAGCAAACACATGCAGAATCTGATTTGGAAAACAAAAGCAATACAGGTAAATTGCTTTTTATCTTAACGTCATTTTAGAGCTTGGACAATGAAAGCAGCAGTATGCAGGATATACGGAAAATATCTTTTTATATCTTTTAAAAATGGAAGTAGTAATTTTTACATTCAAGCAAATATATCCATCATCCCAAATTACCTGTTTCTTAAAATATTCTGCTTCTACCCATACCATGTTAAGAAATTAATAACTCAGTGGGAAAATTAAGTAGATGACAAGGCACAGCAGTCGAAAATGCAATATTATTGCATTGAAAATCAGACAACAGGGCTAACTCCTTGGTAGAGCACTAACTTGTATGAAGCCTTGGGCTTGATCCCTAAGCAGTTCTTAGACAGACAGACAGACAGAGGGAAGGCAGGTGGGAGAGAAAGGGAGAGAGCGAAAGAAAAAGAGTAGGAGGGGAGAAGAACAGAGAAAGGGAGAAAACTGAGAGGCTGAAGCAAGAGACTTCAAATTCAAGCTAGTCTGGGCAAGTGAGACCCTCTCTCAAAACTGGGCTGAGGGCAGAGCTGAGTGGTACAGCACCCTTAATCAATTTCCAGTTATTACAAAAAAAGAGAAAGGATAGAAAATCATAAGTATAAAATCATCCATAATATGGCATTCCAATAAAGGGATTAAGTACATAATACCGTAAGATTTTCAGAGGATAAACTGAATCATATACACATCTATATTAATAGAAGTACCTAAGGGAATCACAGTATGAGAAAGAAAATACCCAGTGATAAAATGACTAACTTTTCAGAAACTAACAAAAGACACAGATCTTCGCATTAAAGACATACAATTCCTGTAGGAAAAGAGTAACAAGTCCAAAAGGCACACCAAAGTGAATGTACAAAATATTGAAGGTAGATAGAAAAATGAAACAAAATTGAATGTTTCTAAAAGATAATTAAAACTTTTCAATATACATAAGCTGAAAATTTGAAACCATACTTTTTCTGTCAAGATTTTTAGGTAGTAAGTTTCTACATTATTTCTGTAAATGCACTAAATTTCATTTGCACATGAATAAGAACTGTTAACATAAATTAAAAAGTCATCAATAATACTGTAGTTCCTAAAATTCAATTTAATGTACTAAAATTTCAGAACTAAATAGATCTTTAAAATTTCTAAAAATGTAGAGGAAAGGGTTATAGGAGATAAAGGGGTATGTTACAAACAATAAAAGGTTATGGTTTAAATTATTTTTTAAAATGTCATAAATAAACTATTTGTAAAAGTTTATTTTGGGGCAACAATTTCCATAAAGAAATACAAAGCCATCATTATTTTCCTACGAAAGTAGTCTGTTGAATAAAATGACATACTCTTTATGCTTTTTCCTTTTTACATCACTTGAGTCATCAGAATCATCACTGCTAGAAGAATCCTGTAGGGAAAAATAAAGGTCAGTGTCATTCACTAATTATAATTTAACAATGTTGTCAAATTTTGCTATACTTAACATCTGCTTTGGTCATAATAGCATCTGTAAATTCTTTTTGTGTTCCATGATGTTATATTTATATTAGCTTAAAATAGTAACTTCTTACTGTTAATAAACAGAAAAACTGATTAAATAATCACATTACCATTTTGTTCAAAATATAAAAATATATGTTATTTTTGGTGACCATCATTGGTGCACTGGATAGTTAGATGGAATCCTAGCTCAAACTAACACTTTTGTTTACCACGAGGTAGCTATGTTTTGTTTTGCTTTGGCTTTGGTATGGTACGGGGGACTGCCAGGGCCATTACATCATTCTACATTCCCAGTTTTCAACTTTTTGAGACAGGGTGTGATTAAGTAAGTAAACTGACTAAGCTGGGCTCAACTTGTGGTCATTCAGCCTCAGCTGCCCAGAGTGCTGGGATTCAAAGTGTGCACCACATTTGGCTCTAGGTAAGTTTTTCTTGAATGCACCGTGCAAACACACATGCATGTCATTAACACACAGTTTATAGCTGCAATCTATTTTTTAAAAACTATTATCAATAATTCTGCATTATTCAAGAGATAAAATAAGGAATCAACATAGGTATCCATTGACAGGTGGATAAAGAAAATGTGGTTTGACTCCATTTGACTACTAGTCAACAATAAAAATAAATCAAAATCTGTCATTTGAAGCAATATGGAAGAAATAGAAGACTTTATGTTAAATGAAGTTGAGCCAGGCACAAAAAGGCAAATAGCCCATCTCTTATTTATGTGTGGATGCTAAAAAGTTCATCTGGCTAAAAACAGAATAGAACACTGGTTTTCAGCATGTGGCAGAGGGAGAGATGGAGAAACAATACTTAAAGTACAGAAGAACATACAGACGGATAGGAAGATCAACTTCTAAGGTCCTATGGCATAGTAGAATAACTATGGCTGACAATGAATTGCTTCATAAGAGTAGAGATGACCTTTCCAAACATGAAAATAATAAAAATGTCTGAAGTGACAGATGCTCCAAGTACCTTGATCTAATTTTACATTGTATACTTGTACTGAAATCACACTGTACCCCACAAATCTGAGCAACTATGTGTAATTAAAAACAAAATATTTTAAAACCAATTTTGTTAATGTTTTGTACAAACATAACAGTATAACTTATTCTTTGTATATACATATATGTGCATACAACATACTTAATTTTTCCTTCATATGTCCTATTTAGTTTATTTTCAGTTTTTCTGTGATGGAGAAATACAGATGAATTTCTCCTTGATTATTTTTGATTCATCCCTAAAGGCAGAAATAAATGATATGTCTATACTTCAAAATTCTTCACACACACATTTAAATGCAGGTATCTCAAATGGAGGCTTTGATTGTTTTTTTGTTTTGTTTTGTTTCATTTTGTTTTGGTACTGGGGATCAAACTCAGGACCTTATGCTTGCCAGAACTTAGGCTTTGAAAGCCAAGAGTTTTTAATAGTTTCAAAAATACTAAATGATTAGGCAATATGCCAATTTTAAAAATAGTTCAAAATGAAAACGTACCTCTTCTGATCCACTATTAGATGAGGCTAGATGTTGCTGTTGCTGCTGCTGTTGTTGCTGCTGCTTGAGTATTGCAGATCTCTGAACTGCCAGAATACTAGGGCTAGATTTCCAAAACTGTCAAAACATGAACAAAGAGGTGAAGATTTGAAATGTGTGGGATATTGAAAAAAAAAAAAAAAAAAACTAGCTTATTAACAATTCCAACATTTTTACTCCTATCAAAAAATAAATGATTATTTTCTTCACTCATGTCACATATAATGCAGTATCATTGCAACACTGTTAAAATAAAATGCTGAGCTTGAACTGTAAGAAATTCAGAGGACTTGAAGTTCCACATACAAATGATAGTAGTCTTGGCAGGAGAGTAAGAGCAGTATTAAAAAAAAAAAAAAAAAAAAAACTGATAATACACTATTACTAATGCTATTCCCAGTGTAGTTATAGCTACAGTGTGAGATAAAGATGAGGAGTCTGTGTCAGAATATAAATCAACTCTGTCACTGTATACTGTAGCCGAGCCCATGTTTTCTTTTAGAGAGGCATGACAAGATTTTCTCCACGAAAAAATGTGCATACTAACTTGCATTCTCCACCTACCTTATCTCATCATGGAGTGATACTCTGATTAATTTGCCATGCATTACATGAAGTGTAAAAGGTTTTAGTTTATCTTCCAGCTTTTTCCAAACAGAACAGCTCTTACCCCCTTTTACCAATTACTTATAAGAAAGAAGAGCACTGATAAATCTTGTTAACCGTGAAAGAGCGCCTGTGATGTAAACCTCATGAAGCTTCTTGATCCATAAGAATAGACACTTATGAGATTCAACTTGTGCCTCAAAAGGAGGCAGAAAAAATTATATTCATGTGAATATGTATTTCATACCTGCTTATTTGTAACTGTACATTGCTCTGGTAAGCTTTTATTCTACAGATACATAATCACAAATTTGAGAATCACTAAAAGTAACTTTCAGTATTTCAAGTTTTTTCCTCTAAAAGTTAATTAACAATGTAAGCCAATCCTATAAGCTTACCCAAATTGATACAAATTTACTTTGCATGGGAAAATGTATTACCTCGGCTCCATCAACTTTCGGTGGTTTTGCTTGAACTTTATTCTCTTGGGATGCATCTGACTCGGACTCTGATTGACTACCTGAGTCAGATCCAGAGTCAGAGTCACTGCTACCAGACTGGCTACTGCTCCCATCACTACTGCTTCCAGTACTCGAACCAGATCCAGAGCGTGATGCTGATCCAGAATCATCATCCGACTGGCTACAATTCGAAAATAAACAGGTTTTAAATAAAACTCCTCAAGAATTTTTGTTTCATTTTGTTTTTTGAGACTGGGTCTCACTTTGTAGTTCAGGCTGTCCCTGAACTCTATGTAGTTTCAAGATGGCCTTAAAGTCATAGGGATCCACCTGCCTCAGTCTCCCAAGTGCTGAGATTACGTACAGGAATGTGTTACCACACCCAGTAATTATTTAACTTTTCTTAAAAGTCAATGGAAACCCCCAAATGAGTAAACATTTCATAGTGCACTGGCTATGGCCAAAGAGAAAAGAGAATTAAGCTTTAGACATTTATAGTAACTGACATACATAGTACAGCTTTGGCTAAAGCCTAAGCAATAAGATCAGGATAATGAGCAAAACCTACCAAGTATACTACCCTAGGCTAGCTATAGCAACTATAAACTAGGAACTCTGCAAAGCTTAAACTATTGAAATTCTTACAGTAACAGGCAAAAAAAGAAATTTATTTATAATTTCTAGTTGTTCTCAAGACATCTCTGTTGTATAATTCCAGCAGAGTATAATTATAATCATACTATGATAACACATACTTATTAGTAAAAGTTCTAAGAAAATCCCTTAAATTTCTCATGAATCCATATATAACCTGAAATAATAGCAAATTGTAGTAATTCTTAACCTCTACACACACAGCTTCACACTGAGCTTTCTTCTATTTTTTTTCTTTTTTTTTCATTTCTAATTCTTGGTCCAAGATAGCAGAGAAATGATCTGGACTAACCAGTTGATCATGCAAGTTTTTTTTCTTTTTGACCTCCAAGTCCCTTTGTTTACATGGTTTTAGAATATGAATTGGTGAATTCTCGCACATTAAATTTCTGGTACATATGGTAGACCTAGTTTCTGACATGACTTCACCTGGCTTCATGAGAAACCATAATTTTTAAAAAATTCCACCAGGTGGCAGAATCACTCTAAGAAAACAGACCACAAAATTGGTTACAGATCTAAGATTTTGACATAGTTAAACAAAAGTTTACAAAAAAGATTTTGATTCCACAAGAATGTACAAGACTACCTATGTTTTAAAACCTAGAATAGTTTTTTTCATAGAAACAGTAAACAAAAATTTGCCTGTAACAGACCTACGCTACCAAGATCATTTCTGCTACTATTTCTATCATCTCAAGTAATTCTGAGGCCCAAAATACCATAGTGCCTATTAACTTAAGAAAGATTGACATATTTGATTTAAATCCTTTGAAATTTAGCAAAGATATTAGAAAATTTTCCTAACAACTTTACTTTTTTATTACTAACCTATTTGGGGAAGAAAACTGTTCATTTATACAGTACACTTTACCAAAACCTATTCATGGGTTAGGTACTAGGGGACAGTGAGGTAAGACAGAGCCCTTAAAATTAATAGAAGAGGGGCTAGTGAGATGGCTCAGTGGTCTAAAGCACCTACTTTGAACAAGCTTGGCAAAGCACAGGGACTGCGGTTCAATCCCCCAGCACCACATGCCAGCCAGCCCTGCCCCCAGGTGGGCTGAGCTGGCCACACACACATACACACACACACACACAAAATAAATAAATGTAAAAAATAATAATAAATTAAAAATAATAATAAAAAAATAGAAAAGGTGTATATCTTCACTTACATTTGGGATTTTTTTAAATTTGAACATGATACAATGTACAAATGTATCAAACCATAATGTATCTCACATACATTTTTATGTACGATTCAAAAATATACTAAAAGAAATCTTGTTTTTCTTTCTAGACAGAGCCTTGCTACATAGTTCAGGTTGACCTGGAACTCACTATGTAGCCCAGGCCAAGAATTTACAGTGGTCTTCCTGCTTCAGCCTCTCCTGAAGATCCTGGGGCACTATGGAAAACATATCTTCTTCATTATTAGAATGATCTCAAGGATAAAAAGAGAAAAAAAAAAGCAAGATACGGAACAGTGTAATAAGCTCCTTTTGTACAAGAAAGAATGGGGGAATGTTTATATGTTTACTTTTACTATACTTTTTAAAAAGCAACAATGGTAGCATAAACCAACAACAACTAATGTGAAACTGACTAGCCAAAGATGGGAAAGGAGTACCAGCAATTGGGATGAAAATTAGTCTTCAGTTTTGAAATCAGATAGTTTTATAAAATTTGTACAGAAATTAAAATATTGAAAACAAATATACAGACTAGGAAAAAAAAAAACTCTACAAAAAGAGAGCTAAAATAGATGAAAAGTTTATCCTCAATAACTAAATTTTATCCTACTGCTACAAATGTTTTCTAAAATAAAAATGTGATAAATGAACTTCTTTTAAGTTTCAATCTTTCAAAGTTCAAACACTAAAGAAGTCTTTTAGAATTTCATGTCTGCCTAAGTTTTCATTACTAAGTTCTCCATCAACTAAACATAGCAGCCACTATGTGGATATTTTATCATTCTTCATTTATCCAATGTTATGTCATTATTAAGCAGAATACTTCTAAAAAAGAAATGTCCCCCCATATTTATTACCCTTAAGGAACACAAAGAGTTGTCATTTATTTACTACTTTTCAAAATGAATTAAATCACAAACATCCTTCAAAGAACAGCAATGATTTTTTAACTCTCATTAAGAACTCTTGTTTTGCACTTCACTGCTACTAGCATCCTTGTTGATTTACAAACTGTCCCCCTTTAGTGAACAAGAAACCCTTGATTAGCTGAGTCCTTCTGACAAGACCTCAAAGTAGCAGGAAACAATTTTTGAAAGCTTACTTATATTTTGCTATGACAAGATTGCCAGGATCATCTTGAGCATTTGTTGCCTCAGGCTATAACTTAAATATCTCACCAAAAAATTTTTCTGTTTATCCTGGAAATTACTTGCAATCTGAGTACTAGTTTAGTCTATTAATAATGGACTGGTCATTTCTTTTTAAGTTTTTTAATGGATTAAGCTAGGACATATGCATTTTTTAAAAAATACATCACACCAGTACATGTAATTCAAAGGTGTTTTATCGCCTTCTTCAATTTTGTATCTGCATCATGACTGGCATTGTTTCATGGGTGCAAATGACATTAAAAACAAAATTATGTTTGTTTTCTGTTGCAACATAAGTTTCAAAATAATACCATTATTACTAACACTAAGATTACTGAAAGTTAAAATTTCTTAATTCCTTTTGACCTCAGAATACTGTACCACAGTCAATAAAGGAAAAGAGTATATAAAGCTCTTGATGCTATTCTTTAAGCTTTTTGTAATTTGAAATTCAAAATTCAAAAAATAAAATATTTTTATGATATATAGCATGCTTCCTTCATTAACATCCAGGATCATAGTATCATATAATCTCATTGGCAGGTAACAAGTTATAAAAACAAAATTTTAAAAGCCACAGAATAAATGAAAAAGGTTAATGCTCAATGCCATGAAAAAATGTTATCTGATATTGTACAGAGTTATTCTATAAATTGGCCAAGGTAAACAGAAATATATGAACTGCAAAAATCTTTTAAGATACCTATAAAAGATGAATGTGAAAAGACTTTAGGTAAGACTTCCCTAGGAAAGTGTGAGCTAACTCAGTTTGTCCTGTTTTGCTTAGTAATGGAGACTCCAAAATGATGACCAACCCTGCAGCTAAACATGGCCATGATAAGTAAGACACCAGTGTAAGGGTTGATATGTACCACCAGAAAGCTGTGGCAGCTCTCAATCAGCACAAACCTATTCACATCAGCACACGTTTTCTTTTAGCATAGAAGCAAATGTCTTTTTTTTTCTGACATTACCAAGGTTATTGTAACATAGTTGTCAATTTGTGACTAAGAAAAAAAGTAACATTCTGTTCAGTAAGAAATGAGATGAAGCAAGGTACAGTGGGGCACATCTGTAATCCCAGGACTCTGTGAGAACGAAGCAGGAGAACAGGCATTTCAAGCCCAATGTGGGAAACTCAGTAACTTAATGAGACCTTGTCTCAAAATTAAAAATTTAAAAATGAGAGGGGTGCATGCCCTGGAAATGCAGCTTAGGATGAAGAACTGGGTTCATTCTACAGTATAAAACGAAACACAAAAAAAGGGATGATATGAAATCCACTAACTTTTAAAAATATTTAACCTTGTATTTTTAAGTTTAATATAACTGTAACATTCCTGTTCAATTTTTTAAACTTTGTATCCCATACCTACTATACCTTGTAGTGAAAACTAGCACTTTAATGAGTTGAGGGTTTTAATGGCTTTTTCTTCTTTGGATAAAATGACTTAAATATGATCTTTCCTACTTTTCCAACTTAATTTAAATCCACTATACTCTGCATTTTAGTCTTACTTCAGCCTTTGATTTTGCCACGCTTCCTCCTGGCTCATAACCTTGGTCAAAGCAGCTATCCCTACTTAGAAAGTTTGTAATGTCAAGCCATACTCTTCCCCAGTACTCCTATTGTACTAACTTTCACTTCCCAAGTCGTGATTTTCCTAGACTTCCTCCTCCAGACTACTTTAGGCAGCTGGCACTTAACACATGCTTAACAGAAACTGAGTACAAGGGTGTTTTACTTAACAAGCGTATCCCTATTTCTAGCATTCTATCTGACAGACTAAAAATAAGACTTCTGAATTTATAAATAAATGACTGATACTATCTCCTCTTTCTTTCTATTAGAAAGGCATGTAAGTGCCCTGTGGTTGCTGGAGGCTGCTGAACAGTGCCACACTCCTGGGTATGGAGGGCCAGTGCAGCCCAGTGACTTACGCATGGGAGTTGTTTTTCCTCAGCAACTGCTTTAGCCAGGTCCCTAGTGCATGGGAAGGGACAAGGAGGATGGGGTTGGGGGGATCCCCATAAGCCAAATCTTACACTGCTTCTGCTTCTTTCCTCTAGGCTTCGCTGCCTCTACATTTCTTGGTTTTTTTGTTTTGTTTTGTTTTGTTTTTAAATTAAACTTCTAACTTTAACTGTTAAGCAGACTTCTGTATGAAAACAATCCATTTACTACAGCCACAGCTATCTAAGTCTGTGTATCACTGGTTCCTATGGATGATGCATATACTTGAGCACATGAATCACCTTCCCCAAATAAATATCTAATACATGAAAAACTCATTCACTTATGTTATCTGGTTGGGTCTTATGGACCATCCTCTTTTATTTTTCAGTTAAAACAAAATTTAAATCATATGACTCAGTTTATAAAATATCTTTATACTATGTTCCATTTTATCCTTACAACAAAAACTGTCCTTAAAGATGTATGTAATGAAGGAGTTTTCTTAAACCCTTTTCAGAAGAGGCAGCCTTTCTAGGAACCCAGCACTGAGGACAAACTAATGTTCTTAATTCTACATGTAGCCAAATTCTTAGTTCCAATCCAGTTTCAATCTTGTCCTTTAAGTCTCTTGTCCTGTTCCTCATAAACACTCCACAGTGCTGCCCTGTTTATTCACAACTTCTATTCTACCTTTGGGTTTTTTGTTTCTGGAACACACAGCCTGGCTAGGAGATGTACGATGCTCACAACATGGAGTCAAACGTGAGGTGGCTTATCCTAATCCTCTTCCTCATTCTCATCTTTTGGGGGGCTAAAATTGACAAACATGTTAAAGCCAACAAAACTACCCCATACTGGCCAGGGCATCTACAGAATCTCAAAGAGTAAAGCTCACAGTGAAAAAGAACTGCAGCTGAGGCTCTGGGTTTGAGTCTCTCCTACAGTATTTTAATTGTTTCTCAACTAATGCATAATACTGCTTTTAATCAACAAACATTTTCAAAAGTACATATATAATTTGAACTTTGTTCATCTCCACTAAAAAAGGTATGAAAAATCCTCTAGATTTTCTACTAATGACACAAAGCTATGGAGAAAAATAAATGTTTATGGGTAATTAAAAAGATGAATCAATTCCTGATTGAGTAGCCAGAGTGGGTAGAAATGGAATTTGAGGCAGAACATAATGGAGGGAGGATTCCAGACTCAGCACAGGCATGCACATCTCTGAACTTTTCCTTATCTGGAGAACACTGCTTCTTGGAAGCAGCTCCTTTAAGACTACTCAAAACTATGTTCATTATGTAGCCATCTATTTCCCTAGACACAGGTTAATATTTCTGCCGCCAATATTTTGTTTGTTATTGATGATTTCTTCACAATATTGCAATTCTTTATATATGTGTCTGCCTTTCTCAGTAAACTTTTAAATTTTATTAAGCTGAGATCTTTATTTTTATAGACCATCATCTGTCATCCACTTCAATATGACAGAAGAAACAACATGGAAAGCAGCAGGCAATGAGTAAGTGCTGAGCATTAAAACTGGCAAAAGGCCCACAATGGCTTTCAAACTTTCTGCATCACTACCTACTCGTGAACACATTACAGAATATAAACAGCAATGTAATTAAAACAAAAGCTTGATAAAATAATGTAAGTAGTAACTACCATCAACCTGCCTGAAAACTAGGCCTTCCAACTGCTATTATGTGCTGATCACAAAATATAACTTGTTTGAGCATCCTGAGCAACACTGTGTTATATTCTCTTTTTAAAATATCATATCTGGGCATAGTGGGACATACCTATAACCCCAGCACTCAGAGGCTAAGGCAGGAAGATTGCAGAGCTATACAGCCTGAGCTATACAGCTAGTTTAAGACAGCCAGCCTATTCAATGCAAAGACCTAGGTTCAATTCTTAGTACTACAAAAACATTTAAAAAATAAAATACAATATGATTTTTATTATTCTAAAACCTCAAACTGAAAATATAAGAAAGTTGCTAGAATGTCTGGCTGGAATACTAGCTGCTAGCATGACTAATTTCAAAGGTGATTTGTTTGGGTTATTGATTTGGAACCAGAGGTAAATTCAAAATATTTTCTTAAATACTCTCTAGTAAGAATTCAGGGAATAATTAGATGAAAGTAAGGCTTTTTATACATAGATTTAAAAGTCACAGAGCAACTTTTATTATAATTTGCTACAATATCAAAAGTATAAAAATGAAAATCTCAAATCCTATATTTCTAACAACCAGGTAAAGTTTAATAACTCCTCGCCCATTACTGCTACCATCATGCTAGAGTCTAACACACACAAATTATATTTCAAATAATCAAGAGGGAAAAACAAACAAAAATAATCCAGGAGGAATAGGGTAGCATGTGGTCCAGGATCAAATAGATGATCATAAGATAAAATGTGTTGAAGACAGATGAATATATAGGGTTCACTTAACTACCATTACTGTATACTTGAAATGATCCCTAATATTTAACTTACTACAATTAATGCCTCCATTTCAAAGTTCAGCATGCTTATAACCCCTGCACTCTGGGAGGCTGAGACATGAGAATGGCAAGCATAGCCTGGACAACTTAGCAAGACCTTGTCTCGCGCGCATGCACACACACACACACACACACACACCCCAAAAAGGAAAGAAAATTTCTTAAGAGTAGGGGATATAACTCAGTACAAAGGCTCAAGTGTCAATTCTAAGTACTAAATAGATTATTCATATGTTTCTTTGAAGTTTTAAATTACTTTATGTTCTTAAATTTAACAAATATTGAAAAAAAGTTCCCAGCCCTGTATAATTTTAAAGAAAACTATATGTAATTTCATTTTTCATCACAGTGCAAATACCCACAGAGTATGTGGCATAGAAAAACAAACTCCAGGGAGCTAGGGATATAGCTCAGTGGCGTAAATGCCTGCCTGGCAAGTGCAAGGTCCTGAGTTCGATCCCTAGTTCAGCCAAAAAAAAAAAAAAAGAAAAGAAAGAAAAAGAAAGAAAAACAAATTCCACCTATTTTTATTTTTTAAAAAAGAAAAATGTGAACCAGTGATACCTTAACATTCATTAAGTGGTTTCAGAAGATGCATCCAGCACCGAAAACAAATACAAAACAAACTGGGTTTAGAAAGTGTAAGATGCAGGTGATACCATTAAGTTCAACCTTGTATGTTCAGTACCAAACAAATGAGTGTCAGGACAAAATGTTCTTGTCAAAATTCACCCTGTGAGTTAAAAGTATTCAAGTGCCAAGGCATTCACTGTATAAGCCATGCAGTATATGAAATAAGCTACTGCTTATTAGGTCAATTTTTTGATATAAAACACATACTAAACCCAGAATAGAAAAGATTATTTGAATTTCTAGTGTCCATTTATACAGCTAAATCATAATTATTAAACTTCCTTGTCAAAACTTCCTTTCACTAATGTAATTCAGTTTATGGTCCATTTCAAACTGAAAAAAAAAAAAAAAGTACTGTAGATGTTGCATCAAATGACAGTAATTTTAAGTTAGACAAGGTAGCACATACCCATCAGAGTAGCAGCCTTTTGAGAGACTAAGGCAGGAGAATTTCAAGTTTGAGCTCAGCCTGTACCACTTAGCAACTCAGCAAGACTGGCTCAAAATAAAGAGCAGGAGGTGGCTGACGATATAGCTCACTTAAGTCCTGAGGTTCAATCACTAATGCTAAAAATCATCATCACCGTCGTCGTCATCGTCTATCTTAGGTGAAAAACAGTAATTCTTGTTTTAGACTTGAGAGGATTCAGACTATAACATCACAATTTCTGATGACCCCTTGCCTCTACATTTAAACTCTGAAATATAGCATTATCTTCCACTAACATCATCTGCCTCAGTATTAAATTATTCTTTGCTTTTTGTCTAAGTCTATTGAAATGCCTTACCGTCCCAAAAGCCACATTATCAAGACAACTTTTAATACATATAAAATTTAATATTACCAGGGATTTAAATGATCCTGACAACAAAGAAGAAAATCAAACTTTTAATACTGTTATTAATACGGAGGTGGACCATTTTCCTTATTATCAATCTTCTACATTAGAACTACATAGATTTTGTACCTGCTTATTATGTCTATATGACACACATATCTATGAAGCTTACCTTAGAGAAACTGGAATTCTAAGTACTCTATGGAATCTACCCTATTAAGTTGTTTGTCAATCATCTAAACTATAGGGGCAAACTATTTCTGAAGTAACAGTAGAGCTGAACAGTACCTACCAAAAGTCATTTCCATTGAAACACTATTTCTTACACTTTATGCCTCAGCCCTGAGATACTAGATATTTCCAGAAGTTCCTACTGAGGGCACAGATCTCTGTATCCACAACTTTGTATTTTCACCTCAGTAGTAATTTTGATCTTATATAATCTACCCACCAAAGAAACCTTTGAGTGTAGTTTTTATACTTTATTTCTGAATAAGCAGTCACTACAGTGACAGGTAATAATGTAATTTCTATTATAAATATCAATTATCAGTATAATAGCTTCCTAGGGTCTCTCCCTTAAAGTGGTATTTCTGACATTCAACATAAAAAACAAAATACTTCAACAGGTATCTCTGCAGCTTTCTTTTAAAAAAAAAAAAAAATTCTACTATGCCTCCTTATTTCTCTTCTACCTGATGATCACATAAAGCTTGAGCATAACACTTAATAAGCTTCAGTATAAAGAACTGCAAAGGTAAGATGTCCAATATACCCTGTTCTACAGATTTACAGTTGACTGGGAGGCAACACCTTTCATTCTCATTACTCACATGAATACGCATCAACTGTTTCTTTCTTCTCAAAGATGTTACTTTATTTTCTTTACTCATCATTATTAGAAAAATTAAAAGTGGTTCATGAAAATCTTTCATATTTCTCATCACTCCAGTATCTTACCAAGTTCCATTCTCTTTTATTTTACTTGCATGCCTATCTGGCTTCATAAATCTCAACACACTTAACTGATTTTATACACAGTTTTCC